CCGCCAGCTCTCTGTTTTTATTGAAGACTACAGGACAATTCAACTGTTTCTAATTTAAAAAGGCAGACTGTGCCCACACGGTTTTCTATTTAATTGTAATTATTATTCCAGCCAGACCCCACCAGTGTCTGTAGGGGTGGACCTGGTGGGAGGGTGGCAGCATGTGGGGTCGGAGCCTCAGGAGGGCTATGGGGAGGATGATGGGGGGCTGTGACACCCCCAGCCCCACTGGGGAGGGTTGGGCTGGTTGGGTGCAGGGGGAGCTTCCCAAAAGCTCCTGTTGAGCCGGTGCCTTTGGGTTTGGGGAGGGGGAACCAGTAGGGGGAAGGGACCTGGGGGGGCAGAGACCGCAGTCCCCTGAGACTGACTTTGTCAATGTTTGGGAAATGACTTTTCCTCTCTGCTCTCCATCTGCTGGCTGAGGTGTTTCATGGGGCAGAGCTTGTCCTCAGCCCCACGGTGGGCCCCCCAGCCCTCTTGAGGCTGGTCATGGCCAGGGGGTGAGTCCCCTTGGTGGCTGGTCACAAGTGGTGGCCCCCAGAGCTCGGTGCTGGGGCCACCTCTGTTTGATGTCTTTATCAACCACCTGGATGAGGGAATCGAATTCGTCCTCAGCAAGTGTGCAGATGACACCAAGTGTTGATCTGATGGAGGGTAGGAAGGTTCTACAGGGGGGTCTGGGCAGGCTGGATGGATGGGCTGAGGCCAGTGGTATGAGGTTCATCCAGGCCAAGTGCTGGGTCCTTCCCTGGGGTCACACCAACCCCGTGAAGGCTCCAGGGCTGGGGCAGAGTGGCTGGAAAACTGCCTGGTGGAAAAGGACCTGGGGGTTTTGGTCGACAGCCAGCTGACCATGAGCCAGCAGTGTGCCCAGGTGGCCACCAGAATCCTGGCCTGTATCAGGAACAGTGTGTGGCCAGCAGGAGTTGGGACAGTGACGGTCCCCCAGTACTGGGCACTGGTGAGGCCCCACCAGTGGCCTCAAGTTGCACCAGGGGAGGTTTAGGGTGGAAATTGTGAAAAATGTCTTCATGGAAAGGGTTGGCGAGCACTGGAAGAGGCTGCACAGGAACGTGGTGGAGGTGTCTGGAGACATGCAGATGTGGCCCTGAGGGACATGGGTCAGTGGTGGCCTTGGCAGCGTTGGGTTTGAGGTGGGACTCGATGATCTTGAGGGTGATTCCAGCGAGGTCTCTGTGTGTGTGTATCCCTGTCCCACCACGTGTCCCCTCTCCCAAAGCCCTGCTCCAGCTGGTCCGGCTTCTCTATGGGCTCCCCCCATGTCCTTCTTCCACCCAGCATGGCCCTGGTCCTCTGGGGACACCTTGGAGAGACCCCTGGGGGGGGCTGAGCTGTGAAAACCCCGAGGGTCTGGGGGCCGCTCTGTTCCCCCCAGGCTTTGGGGACCTCATCTCGCCCCCCCTGCTCTTTCCCCACCTGGGGGGTGCGTTTCTGTTTTCCATTTTGTTCAAAAAAAAGAAAAGCCCACCCCAAACCCATGCGATTTTGAACTCCGGAGCTGTGATATTTATACAAAACAAACTGTTTGACCTTTTTTTCTACGCAGGAACAATGTTGAAGGTGGATGGTTTCCCTCCGTGTGTGTCTCTGCTTTGCCGCAGGGGGGGGGGACAGTGGGACACCCCCCTGTCCCCTGCCACCTCTGGTGCAAAACCGGCCTCTTTTGGTTTAATCATCTCTCCTTTCCTGGAAAGGGAAAAGATTTCAGAGCTGGGGGGAGGGAGGAAAAAAAATGTGGTTTTTCCTTCCTTTTAGACATCCCCAGTCCCCTCGGGTTGTTTGGCTCCGGCGGTGACCCCTGCGATGGGGGGGGTCCCCTGAGGGTGCCCCCAGACCCCCGAGGAGGTGAAGGGAGCCCCCAAAGTGGCAGTGAGGGGGTGACAGTCCCCCACTGACCCGGGCAGGAGGTAACCCCCCCCCCACCAACGTCCTCCCGTCCCAGGGGCTCCTGCTGCTGTCCGTTGCCTCAGCAGCTTGTTAAAAATCACTTTTTAAAGCTCAAAAATGACTTTTTAAAGGGAAAAGTGACATTTAAAGGAGCTGGGCTGAATGTCCCCCGGTGCCTGGGGGCAGGTGATGGTTTCCCAACCACTTCTTGGCATCCCTGGGGTGGGGGGGTGTCAGGATCAGTGCCCCCAGCTCCCCAACGGGCTGGGGGGGGTCCATCTGTGGGTCTGGGGGTGCTGGCACCCTGTGCCAGGGCTG